TCTATATCGTAAGATATCTTCAGGCCAAAAGAGGAATTACCCGCTCCGGATTTATTGAACAACAAACATTAGCCTAAATAATCCTACTAACAATTAAAAATAATGAGAAAGAAACATATAATTTAAAACTATAAGGTGATACGTAATCCAGTCAGTGAGATAATTAAGTTTGAATTTAATATTTTAATGTTCCTGTATAAAGATCTTGATTAATAAATTAAACAAATATTATTTTATTATAATAGGGCTGTTCTTTTCGTAAAGCTTTAGTTACAATCTTTTAGGACTAGCCACCAGCAAAAGCCGACCAATTTTAAGTCAAACAATATTATTTTAAGAAAAATTTTACGATATTTATGTTGAATATTATAAGTATATTATTATTATAATTCCCTTATTATGGGAGTTTTAGGGTCTTTGGTTCATTATTGGGTAATTTTTAGAATAATCTTCGAAAAATGTTAAATTGGATGGGTATTATGATATAAAATTTTAAAAATTAACATAAATACCCCATATGTTTATTTATTTACTAAACACCCTTATAATAAAATATTCAAAGTTAACAAAAATACCTCCAATCCACTCATTAAATACGGACAGCCGGCCACTACCGTCGGAGGGTGGCCGGAGTTGCCGTATTGGCATATGACTAGATGGATCTTATCGGTCGTGTGCCGATATAACCTTTTCCGGCACGATCCATAGTAGATTTGGTCGGAAAAGACCAGATCTATGGCTAGATCTGGCCATTGAAGGTCAAATCTGGCCGCATTTGGTTGTTAACGATGGCCAAAGATATGACCATCGTTGATGGTCAATAACGGCTGTATCTTTGGCCGTTGTTGACTATTGTTTACGGCCAAAGATCTGGCCTTTTTCGGTTGGATATGGTCGAAAAAAGCTAGATCGGCTCACTACCGACTAGATTCAGCCGATAGTGGGCCATTACATCATATTCCGGCCAACTTCCGGTAGTGGTGGCCGGAATTTGGTAAATTTGGGTTGTTAGGGTGTTTTTGTCAATTTTTAAAATTTTTTTAGGGTTGTTTAGTTAAATTAACAAATTTAGGGGGTCTAAAAGAAATTGAATAATTTAGAATTATATTTTGAAAATAGGTGAACCAAACACAAATTTTGTGTTAACTTTTTTGGAAAAACTATAATAGTTTTTCTAATATATGAACATATTTTTATGGTCGATTTTAAATAATTTCTAGGGTTAATAATATTTATTTAAAATTAGCAAGAATGGATTTTTTTAATTTTTTTTTCTAATAATAAAAATAAAAATTGGAAGACTTTAGCTATTTGAATGGGTTGCTCAGAAGTCTTGTGTTCAAGTCTTATAAAGTGACTATCTATCGCATTTATGATTACTTGATCCATTGAGCTTATAAGAAGATTAGTTGAAGTATGTGTAAACTGATTCGGAGTTTCGGTAATAAAAAATAAAATAAAATTGAAAGTAGGCTAAATAGGCAATAATTGAAGAGAGCAAGTTGAAATGTGAATTGCAAGGAGGGAAGGGGGGCTTGACTCTTTTGAGTATTGACTACATAAAAATGTGAAGTGGGTCCATTAATTAATTTATTCAATTGAAAAATAAAGCCTATCTTTGTTGACCCAAAAATTTAGAAATAAAAAATTTGGTTCACATTGCTACATATATGATTGAGATTTTATGAATCAGCTGGCAACCCTTTTTTGTTCATGTCTTATTCACTGACTTACTTTACTTTAAAATAAAAAATAAAAATCTTTGTAGTAGTAAAATTTTGGATTTTAGCCTGTGGAAAATATTTTGCAATTTGGTTACTTTTGAAAAAAACAATGTGGTTGACACATATATGGTCACCAGGTAAATTTTGCATGATTATAAAATGTGATGTTGGGTTTGTTTTTAGTTTTAATATATAGTTTAAATTATATATTAATTTGGTGTTATTTTAGTCTATTCTTGTATGTTTGTCAGAAATTAATAACGGATGTTCAGATGAGAAATCAAACTTAAGATTATATACCTATTTATATTATCCATATTTTGCCCTAATCATTTGGACTACCCACGAATAGGTAAGAGATTCTAAAGCTTAACCTAATATAACATAAATGGAGGATATAAGAACGAAAATTTAGGTTCAAGTCTAATTTCTTAGATCATAGATTGTCTTTGTCATTTGGGGAAAAAATTTGAAAATTCAAATTCTATTTAGGGGAAAACTTGACCAAGGTATTGTGACAAATTAATGAAGATTAATTAAAGTAATGCTATAGTTAATTGAAGACAATCATTAAGGTTAAAACAGATTGTGATAGACTAAAAAACAAAAGAAGAATTGGGTGTTAAAAGAATCTGTCCACTAAATATCAGTATTTACTTTCAATATTAAATTAATATGAACTTAAAAAAAAAAAAAAAAATTGAAAAGGACTATTGTTTTTCAATTATTTGCTGTTAAAATATCAGAAACTGCCAAATATTTGATCAATAATTTTTTTTTTTTTTATTTTTCTTTTTATAGAATGCTCCAAATTAGTTAATAACAGTATGTGAAGGCTAGAATTGTCGTTATTAATAAAAATAAAAATAAAAATAAATATTATGTTTCAACGTGTTAACCCCTTATAAATTATAATTTAGACTATGATTTTAAGGGTTAAAAATTGATATAAAAGGTAACGTTATTCCAGCGCTATGGTGATTGATTAATTTAAAAAAACCATCATAGTGTAACTTGATAGTAAAAAAGCAAAAAATAATTTAACATGGTTTTTTTCTATTATTGGGATGTTTGGACCAGTTTACGCGTATCTCAACCAATTATTCGGGGCCTTAAAACTGTCAGTCAAGTAAGAGTCCTAGTGGCCACAAGCTACCCCTATTAGTGCATAGAGGAACTCGAATTCAGGAGTTCATGAAAAATCTTTTTACTCTTTTATCATCAAGCTATCCAATGGTGGTTGTTGGAGTCCCATATTGACTAGGCACGCTCAAACCTACTAGTTTATAAGAAGGGGTAATCATCTCATTTAATAAGACCTTATTGGGTGAGGTGTCAGACCCGCCTCAAATTCTATCATGGTATCAGAGCTCATGTTCAATTGAGCTAAGTGCTTGACTAGCGGGTGAAGAGTTAGAGCCGACAACTACCTCCAATAACATACATGACTCAACATATGGGCTTGACCGTGAGGGGAAGTGTTGGAGTCTCATACCGACTAGACACGCTCAAGTCTACTGGTTTATAAGAGAGGATAATCCTCTCATTCAACAAAGCCTTATTAAGTGGGGAGTTCAACCGACCTATTAGTGGTTGATCCTATTTTTATGATAAAGAAATTAAAAAAGTATTAAGCTTATTGAAAATAAATAATTGAGGGATAATATATATAAAGTTATTATTATTATTATTATTATTTTGCAACGTGATGCAAAGTATATAACCCAGAAAAGAGTAAACAACATATTCCCACCCAAGGTTTGACGAAATTCCAAGTTAGTATCATTGGTTTTATTTATTCCAGATTTCCACCCTTAAAGTAACAGTATTATGAATTTTTAGGGTCTAGAGGGTGCAATTACCATAATGCCCTTAATCCTAAATTAATAAATTATGTTTTAACCCCTAAATTAGTAGAATTACAAAACTTACCATTTTATTTTCAAATTATATCAAAAACACCCTCGGTCACTATACACCCTCGCCAGAAACAGCCCGATCCGGGCTGTTTCCGACGACGTCAAACCCCCTGGTCACGTCCATCACCTTCCCCGTAGTCCGTCGTCCAAAACCCCTCTAGTTCCCGACTCATTTGCCCCTCCAATCGTCAGCACCGTTAAGCTTAGGGTTTCAATGTTCTTCACCGAATTCTGATCGATTCCGGCGGTGAAAATCCAATTGGACACCACCAATGCAACCACCGTCCCCAAATCTATAAAACCCCTATGTCCCTAACAACCGTTTAGTCGTCATTCGTCGGCCGAGAGTTCATGTTCATCGGCCTTTTTTCGTTGCTGTGGCCGGAGATCGGTGAGTGATGAGGGGTTGAGAATGGTATGATTTTATAGAGGGGAGAATGGGGGTTCAAATGGTGGTGATAATGGTTATTTTGGGTGGAAGAATTGTCGAAAAAGAGCGAAAAACGTTGGGAACAACGACTGCTAATGTGCGCCGGAGGACTGTTAGAGGCGGTGGTCTACTAACGTGTGCCGCCCATGTAAAATGACCAATTTACCCCTTTACCATTACATCAAACATTTTTCCATCACTTTAAGGGTACGAATCTGGAATAAATGAAACTAATGGGACTAATTTGGGATTTTCTCAAACCTTGGGTCGGAACTTGTCGTTTAGTCCCCAGAAAAAAGAAAAAAGAAAAAAGAACGCCAGTGCATAAATTTGTCATATTTTGGGACCACAATAAGCCCAATTTGCTTCGATTCTGCTGTATTTCTGGATCCTTACCAAGATTCAAAATATCCAACTCTTACCACTAAATTATTTTATAAAAATTATAATAAATTCAAAGATATGTACAATTATTAATTTACTATTTGCAATTTGCAATACTATATATTATACATCCACTCTCTCCTTGGTTGGATATGTTATTCAAACAAACTTGTTGAAATACACATAAAATAAATATACTTTATGTTAAAACAACTTGAATCTTACCAATCTTCAACTTTTCGGTATCCGAAGACTCATGCAAAAGACATATACTTTTATCGTAAATTTTTGTACGTACGTTATTATTTGATGTTATTGTTTTAAGTTATTTTAATGTGTGTCCGATATATTTTTTTAATGTAAAAACGATTTTTATTAGGTTCGTTTTATGAACTGAAGTTTGAAACGAAAGTTTCCGTCAAATTAATGGATTAATTTTACGATAAATTAATCCATTAATTCATATTATATAAATGGTTAATTAGATAAACAGTGTGGTTGGACTCATTTGGTCCAAGAAATGATGTAAGCCGAAGTCTAAGCCTTACCTTCTTGTTCTATATAAGTTCAACTCTGTTCAACTTTCATGGCAGCTTCAAATTCCACTCTTCAAAAACCAGATAGCTAACACCATACACTCTTAATCTCCTTCTCTTCCTCTCTCGCTAGCTTTGCTTATTTTCAAACATGGCTAGCCAGGGAGCCCAGACTACTGCTGCTGCTACTACTACTCATGCTGACCAACGTCCCAAATCCCTTGCAGATTTTGATCCTCCGCAGAAACCAAAACGCAACAAGTATGCTTTCGCTTGCGCCATGTTAGCTTCCATGACTTCCATCTTGCTCGGCTATGGTAACTTAAACTTAATTACTAACGAAAATAAACAATGAAAGAAACTTGTATAATATTGAGATTTGATAAATCTTATGCATGTGTTTTTTTTTTTTGTTTTGTTTTGTTTGACAGACATTGGAGTAATGAGTGGGGCGATAATCTATATTAAAAAGGACCTCAAAATCAGCGACGTGCAAGTGGAGGTTCTGGTGGGGATCCTCAGCCTTTACTCACTGTTAGGTTCGGCGGCGGCCGGCAGAACCTCCGACTGGATCGGGCGGCGCTACACCATCGTACTAGCTGGGGCTATATTCTTTGCAGGAGCTCTTCTGATGGGTTTCGCCACAAACTATGCGTTCCTAATGGTGGGTCGTTTTGTTGCTGGTATTGGCGTCGGTTATGCTCTCATGATCGCTCCTGTTTACACTGCCGAAGTTTCGCCCGCTTCCTCTCGTGGCTTCCTCACTTCTTTCCCTGAGGTAATTTGAATTACTTTGTTCTTCATCTCCTTGACAACTTTACGCATTAATTAGAGCTCGTAAAGTCACCACTTTCGTGGAATTTTCCATAAAAGAGTACTCTTCCAATACTAAAAATAGAAACTTTTATTACTGCACCACAGGTGTTCATTAATGCAGGGATATTACTGGGATACGTTTCAAACTACGCATTCTCGAAGCTGTCACTTCACTTGGGATGGCGAATGATGCTTGGCATCGGCGCCATCCCCTCCGTGCTGCTGGCCGTCGCCGTCTTAGCCATGCCTGAATCACCTCGTTGGCTGGTCATGCAGGGTCGACTCGGAGACGCCAGGAAAGTCCTGAACAGAACCTCCGACTCCAAAGAAGAAGCCGCCTTAAGACTCGCCGATATTAAAGAAGCTGCTGGCATTCCCCAAGAATGCAACGACGACGTCGTTCAGGTTGAGAAACGTAGCCACGGTGAGGGTGTATGGAGAGAGCTCCTCCTTCATCCTACACCGGCGGTTCGTCACTGTTTAATCTGCGCCGTTGGTATTCATTTCTTCCAGCAGTCGTCGGGTATAGACGCCGTCGTTTTGTACAGTCCCAGGACCTTTGAAAAAGCCGGGATTACATCTGATGACCTCATATTACTCGCAACTGTAGCCGTCGGATTTGTCAAGACTCTTTTCATCTTAGTGGCCACATTTTTGCTTGATAGGATCGGACGGCGGCCGTTGCTTTTGAGTAGCGTGGCGGGTATGATCCTGTCCCTTGCCACCCTCGGATTCTCTTTAACGGTCATTGATCACTCCCACGTAAGGATACCATGGGCCGTTGGTTTAGCCCTCACCGCGGTGTTATCATACGTCGCGTTCTTCTCGATCGGTATGGGGCCCATCACGTGGGTCTACAGCTCAGAGATCTTCCCGTTGCAGCTACGCGCTCAGGGAGCGAGTATGGGAGTTGCAATGAATAGGGTTACAAGTGGGGTCCTATCAATGAGTTTCATATCACTTTACAAGGCCATATCAATCGGCGGAGCCTTCTTCCTTTTCGCGGGAATCGCAACGGTAGCCTGGCTGTTCTTTTATACCATGCTCCCGGAAACACAGGGTAAAACCCTTGAAGAGATGCAGGTCCTTTTCGGTAACTTCCATTGGTTGAGGGATTCCAAGCGCAAGAAGAGAAACACTAAACTTTTCGGCAACGGTGACGGAAACAGTGACGGTTCTAGTAACGTTCAGTTAGGGGCTGTGTCTAAGCCCATTACTAACTAGAGGATAACTTGGTAAATATGATGCCGTTTTAAATATTTTCGTGTAACTTTCTAAAAGGATAATGATGTTTGAGTGAGAGGGACGAAGGAGGAGAAGAAAAAAATGACAAAACCTGATGCAATGAAAAATCATAAATTATGCAGTGAAATACAATATACTCTATCTATAGTTTGTCCAAGTTTGGTTTATTACGTTGCTATGATTTTGATGCTCATAAGTTATTTTATATCATAAAATTTGTTAAGATTTTAAACCAATTCAGTTTTATTAAACAAGATCGTTAAGTAGGTTTATTACCTTCTTTAAGTTTTTGGGTTCAAACTTTGAGGACATTTATCATATTGGGATTTACTTGATACTTTGAGCTTATATGTTGTTTAATAACTTGAAAATTAGTTGAAATACGTACAAATTAGCCTAGATATCCCGGTTACCAAAAAAAAAAAAAAAAAAAAAAAAAATTTACACAAAAAGAAAGCAAACAGCTCCTAAATAAATGAATGTTTTAATTGAAATCCATCTGGGTATCACCAACTAAGGATGAAAATTTTGGTGGAGCAATATCTTTGCTTAATGTTATTTGGGTACTATGATTTGTCCTATACTAGGACAAATCGGGAAAAGCTGCAACAATTAGAGAAGCTAATGAATGGTTTGATAGAAACTCTTTGATGTATTACTCAAGAGGTTTTGAATTCGAGTTCCTCTTCAAGTATTGATAGTGGTAAACACTGAAGTTCTTTCTCGGCCGGTAGTTTCAGGATCTCGAAGATTAGTTGAGGTACGCATAAACTGACCCAAAAACTCCCAATCATTAAAAAAAAAAAAAAAAATTTGGGAAGCTGAATGTTGTGATCAACAAATTGAGTTTGATTATGAAAGCAATTAACGTTGAAAATTGGCATGTGATTGGATCCTTTGAGCTGGGGATGGTGGGTATTTTTTTGTTTTTGTTTATGTGCTTTTCCTTTCTTTTGAAGTCATTTCTTTTGTGTTTGGTTCTGCCTTTTCTTATTTTCTCTATATATTTTTAATAAATTAAATTATGTGGTTATGTTGCTTTGAGAATGAGTGGTCCATTAGCTTGCATGGGTTGATTGAATTGACTACCAATAATAATGCAAAAGCAAAGGAGACCTTATATTATTTCTTATACATGTGTTATGTTTCCTATTTCTAAAGTTTGGCTTACATTATTTCTAAAAGAAAAGTTAACCTTCTACTACATGACAAGTTTAAGAAGTGGTTCAATCAGCTTGCGTATCAGAATTTTAATTTGCAAATTCTGGAAATAACTGAATGTATGTGTTCTTAATGCCAAACTGGATTACTTACCTCCAACCATATTGTCCAAGCGTTATAAGAGAATTAATCCAGAGATGATAGAAGTCAAATTTATATTGTCGTTAACCTAAGTGATAAAAGTAACCAAATGTGAATTTCAGGATGATGAGTCGTGAGAGAATGTTTGAGAGATATCATCTAGCCTATGCCAATTATAGTTGATATTCTGTTCCTAACAACTACCTTTCATAACTTCTATCAAGGATTAAGATAGACAGTTTACCTTGAACAACTCTTTAAAACCGCTCCTTAACTGCATAATGTTAACTGAATAATTGTGGCATGTGGCCACTTTAAATCTTACAAGTCTAACCCAAAGAAAAAGTTTCACTAGGTGGGTGTTTCAAAATCAATCGAAATATTTCCTAACCTAATGTCAAAATGAAGATTGAAGCAGCAAGAACATAACAAATATTGAGACACATTGGCACTCAAAATTTCACTTGGTGTAGTTATATATTTATAGAACAAATGATAATGAATGAATAAATGAACATGTAAGAGATGGGCAGAGATGGAGGCTGTAGTTGTAGTCATTGTCGAAGACAAAGAGAGTCCATGCCAATAATTGAAGAGTATGTGAAATGTAAATTGCAAGGAAGGAAGGGAGGCTCGACTTTGAGTATTGACTTGACAATATAAAAATATGGAGTCCATTAATTAATTACCTAATTAATCAATTAGTCAATTATCTAATTAATATGAACATCTCTAAATGACTATTTATATAAGAGCATCTCCATTGGTACTCTTTATTTTAAAGAGTATATTTCCTATAAATAAAGAGCATGTTTGTTGATTTTTAAATATAAAGAGCAAAAATTTTATTTAAGTCTAATGGACTCTTTATTTTAATTCTTTATTTTGAATTTTCCTATAAAGCATTTATGATTTTAGAGAAAAGAAAACAGAACATAAATATATAGAAACTCAAAAGACCATCGTGGTGGGAGGAAATTTTTTTTTTTTTTAAAAAAAAAAACTTAATAGGAGAGAGAAACAATAAATAAAATTTATTGAAACTTGTAATTTAATTAATTAAAATTATGATAAAGAGTGAGATTGACTCTCTAGATGTGGAGAATCAAATCCACTCTTTAATTTATTTTTAAAGAATACAGATTCATTGGACTCTTATTTGTATGCATTAACTCTTTATAATAAAGAGTTTGACTCATATAAAGAGCCATTTGGAGATGCTCTAACCTAAACTCTTTATTATAAGAAGTTTATCCATAGAAAAGAGTCAAACAGACTCTTTATTTTTTAAATAAAAATTAAAGAGTGAGTTTGACTCTCCATATTTAGAGAATCAAATTTCACTGTTTATCCTAATTTTAAATAATAAATTACAAGTTTCTATGCATTTTATTTATGATTTATCTCTCTTATTAAGTTTTCTTTTTGAAAAAAATATTCACTTCTAAAATTTAAAGAGTCTATTGGATTTGAATAAAAATTTTGATTTTTATATTTAAAAATTAATGAAATTACTCTTTATTTATATATATATAAAAAAAAAAGTTTTAGAGATAGCTCTAAGGAGCCTCCCTTGGTCCTTGGGTAAGAAAACGCGCTGACCCTTTTCAGACTGCAACACCTTTGAATTTTCAAATTCTATATGGATAAACAGTATAGTTGGACTCATTGGTCCAAGAAATGATGTAAGACGAAGTCTGGACTTCCTTCTTGTTCTATATAAGTTCAACTCTCTTCCAACTTTCGTGGCAGCTTCAAATTCACTCTTCAAAAACCAGATAGCTAACACCATGCACTCTTAATCTCCTTTTCTCTCTTTCTCTCGCCTGCTTGCTTGTTTTCAAACATGGCTAGCCTGGGAGCGGAGAATACTGCTACTGACCAACGTCCCAAAACTCTTGCAGATTTTGATCCTCCCCAGAAACAAAAACTCAACAAGTTTGCTTTCGCTTGCTCCATTCTAGCTTCCATGACTTCCATGTTTCTCGGCTATGGTAACTTAACTTAATTACTAACGAAAACAAACAAAGAAAGAAACTTGTATAATATTGAGATTTGATAAATCTTATGCATGTGTGTTTTTTTTTTTATTGTTTGACAGACATTGGAGTAATGAGTGGGGCGGCAATCTACATAAAAAAGGATCTCAAAATCAGCGACGTGGAAGTGGAGGTTCTGGTGGGGATCATAAACCTTTACTCACTGTTTGGTGCGGCGGCAGCCGGCCGCACCTCCGACTGGATCGGGCGGCGCTACACCATCGTACTAGCTGGGGCCACATTCTTTGCAGGAGCTCTGCTGATGGGTTTCGCCACAAACTATGCGTTCCTAATGGTGGGTCGTTTTGTTGCTGGTATTGGCGTCGGTTACACTCACATGATCGCTCCTGTTTACACTGCCGAAGTTTCGCCCGCTTCCTCTCGTGGCTTCCTCACTTCTTTGCCTGAGGNTTCAATCCCTACACTTGCATGATGAATTGCTATTCAACTTGTCACTTATGCTTACTTGATGACAAGAGTTGGGCTATGTGACTTGACTGCAACGAGCTATATAACCTACATCGTGTGAAGAGATGTGTGCTTGTTCGGTATTTTAGGAATTTAGCCAAGGATTTCAATTGACTCCTTTTATTTGTTGAAGAGATTTTTCCAAAGGCCATAAATATTCTTAGAAAGTTGAAAAACAATACCCCAAGATAATTAGTTCAAGGTCTTGACCGGCGTCGATGGCTTTTTGAGCCACGTGAGGAATGCCGGCCTGCACACCATTATTACTCTGAGCAACGTTTTTCAACTCGAACACCAGCCGGTTCATTAATACCTTTCACCCGAATAACAACCGGCCCATTTGTATTCATAACTAGTTTTTTTTGGCAGTGATAACCAGCAACAAAAGCCAATGAAATGATTAGATGACGATACCAAAGTAACTGGTTGTGGGCCTTGTAGCCAATCTAATGGCTTCATTGGGTAGATTGTTAGTCGTGATCAATATGTGTCAATCAACTTAGAAATCGAATTTATATAGGATAGAATTTGTTTTATTTTAGGACTCTATCTAGATTTTATTCAATTTTTTCCCGCTGTCAGCCATTGAAAGCTGTCTATCGGTAGGGGTGGAAAAATCCGGTTAACCGAACCGGTTAACCGGATTTTTGAACCGAACCGGTTTTCGGTTTAAAAAATAAACTGAACCGAAACCGGTCCGGTTTCGGTTATTAACCGGTTATGAAGCGAACCGAAAATTCGGTTCGGTTAACCGGTTTTTAAACCGGTTAATAAAATTAATGATGGGCTGCTTTTTCGGCCCAATTCACACACTCCACTTATGGCCCATAAGTTATGGGCTGCCTTTTTAGCCCAATTTGCACACTCCACTTTGCACTTTTTTTTTTTTCCAGGTTTTTATTTTTTTTTAACATGACCTAAAGTTATAAACTTATATCTACTGTAAATTCAATTACGTTAATAAACTTATATCTATTGTAATTGAATTTGAATTCATATAATTTGAATGTACATCAAAATCAAATATTAATAATTTAAAATTACAAATCAAAGATTGCAAAAACAAAGATATGATACAAACTCAATTACAAACTAAAAAATATACAAACTATACAAACAAAAAAATAGCCCCCTGTTGCCAACTTAGTTTCCACAAAATCAAACATAATAAACTCATTTCCACATCCTAAAATTACAAATCAAACACATGAAATGGATAAAATAAGAAACATATTTCCACAAAATCCAAATCAAACACATGATTAAAACTAGCACACACATTTCCACAAAACAAACATAATAAACACATTTCCACAAAACAAATCTAAGTACTAACAAGCACATTTCCAAATCAAATAATGAAATGAAAACTTAGAAGATATACAAACACAGTTAACAAAGACAAATATAAATATAACAAATCCACAAAAAAGATCTCAAAAGAGGCCTCCAAGCAAGCAATAACTGTCCAACTGCAAGCACATTCCAATCCATTGTCAAATGTCAACTGTCAAAACAAAAAAGTTCCACAACTTGTTAGGTAGCTCACATCACATTAGTTATTACCATCACATTGTAAATTTGTAACAAGAAGAATAATTAAAAAAAAAAATTTACAAGACATCAAATATCTGAGTCGTGGGCGAGGTCACCAACAAATACAAAGAAAAAAAGCCAAAGAGATGAGGTCACCCACCGGAAACAGACGATGATGTGGAGACTTGGTGAAGGAAGAAGAATGGTGACCGCGACTGGTGATTGCCGACCGTTAAGCAACAGATCTGAGAACTGAGAGTGAGAGACTCCGGCGTGACCGCGTGACTCCGGCGTGAGAACTGACAAGTGAGATAGAGACTCTGAGAGTGTGAGAGAGAGACTGACGGTTATTGAGGTCTGAGGTGAGTGTCTGTGTATCGGCGTTGGCGCGAGTGCGTCTGAGATCTGAGTACTGCCGTACTGGAGCAGTGGAGCTGCCGTCTGCCGAGTTGGAGAGTGGAGATTGGAGTAGACTCGTACTGGAGTAGTGGGGTTACCGTCTGCCGAGCTGGAGAGTGGAGATTGGAGTAGACTCATACTGGAGCAGTGGAGCTGCCGTTTGCCGAGCTGGAGAATGGAGACTGGAGTAGACTGAGTAGTGAGTAGTGAAGACTGAAGGTAGACTGAGTGAGAGTGTGAGACCGTGAGAGTTGAGATTGTGAGAGTGTTAGATGGTGTTAGGGTTTGGAATTGCAAATGCAAAATAAAAATGTAAAAATTAAAATGCAATAATTTTTTTAAAATATCGGTTCATAAAACCGGTTTTCTTTTTTTCAAAAACCGAAACCGAACAGAATATCCGGTTTTTTTTAATATTTGAATCGAAATCGAACCGAAACCCAAAAAAAACCGAATTTTCGGTTTGGTTTTGGTCCGGTTTCTCGGTCCGGTTCGGTTTTCGGGTTTTTTTTTTCCACCCCTATCTATCGGTTGTTTATTAGTTATTAATAAGATAGATAGATGCCTTTAACATATTTTGAAGTTAGGTGCGACTATGGACAAGCTCACAAAACACAGGTCCTCTAAGGTTAGAGACAAAGCCTAAATATTATTACATGGATATTGTATAGATACATGATGTGATCCAATCCTAAAATCTATTCTAACAATATTGTTATTTTTTATTTTATATAGAAATCAGATATTCACTTAAATTAAAAATGTCAACTTATTATATCACATATCATCTCCAACCACAATCATTTTAATTTTTTATAAGTCTATTATAATTTATGTAGACGATAAAAATCTATGGCTACGAGGAAGGATTGATCCTGTGAGGTTGAGGCCACTGACAATCCGTCGGTGTGGTGTTTGCTATAGGTACTCAAACGTTCAAGTCAACAAAGTTGAAAGAGGCTATCTAGTGAGGACTAAGGGGAGGAAGGGTTACCGAAGTCTGATCGAAGATTAGAGCTACGACGAAGGTGCTAGTTCTTAGGAATAAGAACTCTTATGAGCTAGTAGGTAGTATTGAATAATAGATGCTTTATGAGAGGCATGACTGAGAAAATTTAACTCCCCGGCCATCCCAAGTTTCAATTTATCAAAATGGCCTTGAAAATATATATATATATTTTTAAAATTTAGAGAAGCTGACATGGCACAGTTAGGATTCAATAAACATGTAAAATGGGTTAAAATGAAAAGATTAAAACATATGTGGGAAAAATCATAATTAATGAAATTTTTTAAAATTTGAAATTTAAAAGTTCGCCCCACCCATTCAAATCGCTTAATCGAAACTGATTAGGGCAAAAATCGATTTCTTGAACCCTAAACGGAGACTGTGCGATTTCTGATCCAAACTCCAAATTTTCACACCATATTCAATCCTAAAATCAATTTGTTGAACCCTAAATGGAATACAGTCTCGATTTCCGACGATACAGTCGTGATTTTCGATCGAAACTGTAAATTTTCACACCAAATTCAATCCTAAAATCGATTTCTTGAACCCTAAACGGAATCTCTGCGATTTTCAACGATACAGTCCAGATTTCCGATCGAAACTGTAAATTTTCACGCCAAATTCAATCCTAAACCATGGCTGACATTCATAATGAGGACGAAAACCCAACGCCACTTGGAATCCTAGAGTTCGGTGGCGCAAGTAGTTCAATGGCTGCTCCGATGGATCATTCGATCAGTGAAGGTGGTCCATAGGCAGAATAGACGACGACGACGACGACACAACAACAGAGAGAAGAATCGCAAAACGGTTCTGAAGAGGAGGAGGCCAGCGAGAATTCAGGCGAGGAGGAGGAGTCCGGCGAGGAGGAGGAGGCCGGTGAAGAAAGGGTACGTATTTGTTTTGGGAGTGTATTGCTCTGTACTGTCGCTTAAGCGATTCATCCATTTTACTCATAGTAGCTTAAACGATTCCATATCGCTTAAGCGATCTTTTCCGAGGTAGAATCAACATCTGCCCAGAGCTAAGATCACTTAAGCGATTCATCTCTTTTACTTATGGTCGCTTAAGCGATTCCAGATCGCTTAAGCAATCTTGTCCGAGGCAGAATCGTCTGCCCAGATCTAAGATCGCTTAAGCAATTCATCTTTACTCTCTTGTCTGAGGCAGATTATCTGCCCATTTCTAAGATTGCTTAAGCGATTCATCTTTACTGTTGGTCGCTTAAGTGATTCCAGATCGCTTAAGTGATCTTGTGCGAGGTAGAATCATCTGCCCAAATCTAAGATCGCTTAAGTGATATTTCGTATCGCTTAAGTGATTCATTCAGTTTACTCTTGGTTGCTTAAGCAATTTCAGATCGCTTAAGAGATCTTGCACGAGGCAGAATCAAGATCTCTTAAGCGATCCGAAATCGCTTAAGCGACCACAGAGGTAATTTTTTGTTGCTGATATTTTGTTTATATCGATTGCGCAGATTGTGCGGACCGTAAACTATAAAGACTATGGGTTGGACATTGTAAGCGAGAATGTACCGTACTTCCCTGTAAGGGTGACGGTCAGGTCGAGTTGGGATGTTTTTGAGAGAATAAAGGGGATTTTAGATGGATTGAGGAATGGTCAATGACGATTCAAAGAGACTTGTTTCGGTCAGTTTTTGAAAACCGGAACAAATTGGAAAAAAGGCGTTCTGAGGGCAGGGAGTGCATTATATGTTGCTGCACTCAGTAAAATGCCAAAAAAAAGCAAGAAATGTGGTTCGTGGTGGATGGAAAGCCACTACGTTTTGAGATGATGGAATATGCGTTGGTGACTGACTTAGGATGTGGGAAAATGCCAGATGAGGATAAGGCAAAGACAATAAAAGAGAGTGGGGTAGCCATAAGGTTGGCTGAGAAGGTTTTGCAAGGGAAAGCGTCTATTACAGGATGCGATTTAGAGAAGATTATAAGAAGAGTTCGGTTTATCGATCTAGATAAGTTCAAACCGTGCTTGGTATTGTTCTTACATTCGATCCTAATGGCTGGTAATTCAACAAAAGTCGTTGATATGGATTGGGTGAGGTTTGCAAGCAACTTTGACTTCTTTAATTCTTATCTGTGGGGACGGGAATCATTTAAGTGAACCATGGACTCCCTACAAGGGAAAAACATGGCGTTAAAGCAGTCCCAATGGGTCGGGAAGGATAAACCGAGCACGTACAATTTGTTTGGCTTCCCATGGGCAATGCAAGTAAATATTAATAGCTTTTTGTTATATTTTTTGTAATATATGTGTTTGAATTATGATATGGACTGTTTTTTTACAATGTAGGCTTGGATGTATGAGGCCGTCCCTGTCTTCGCTAAGGCAGGGGGGGGGGGGGAAAGAGTTCGGATGTGCGACAACAATTTCCTAGGATGTTGCGGTGGCATGTCTAGAAGTGTATCCATTGGGATTACGACCAAATAGACATTGAAATTGAAGCGGCTGGGGTAAGATTAAAGGATTAAGCTTTTGAATATGCAGTTGCTTTAAAATGTCACTTCAATCTCATTGATTTTGTTTCTTATTGCAGGGAGTCGTCCGTCCCTTTCTCACCGCTACTGGGGGTGAAGCGGAACAAGAGTATGTCATATCTTTCGAACCAGTGGAGGATGAAAGGGATGAACGGATAGACCGCCTGATGCGGGACCTAGAAGGGGTCACGCATGTGATGGCAGTTGTAGGGCCATTGTTTGAGAACGTGGTTGACGCCGAGGATGATGAAGCTCCAATCGGTGGAAGGGAGGAGGAGGATGAGGAGGAGGAGGAGAAGGAGGAAGAGGTTCGTATGCCTCAGTAAACCAGTACAATAAGTACCGCTTTGCCGAGACGTCGGCGTCGGGAGAATGAGGTAGTTGACCTCATAAACGTCCTATTTGAGAGTTTTACAATAGCCTTTTATGATAGGTTTGGCAAGATAGAAGAGCGGATGAAAATGGTGGAGCAGAAAGTGGATAAGATGGCTGAGAAAGTTGGTACGGTGGAGGAGGAAGTTGATGGAGTATTAAAGGTGGTTGAAGTGCAACCTGGGCTGAAAAGAGAGAGCCGAAAGAGCAAGTTTGTCAAATTGCCTTACACGGTAGTAACACATGGAAAGAAGAAGAAAATTAAGAAACAAATGGAGGAAGAAGCAAAAATGAAGGAGGTTAAGGAGGTTAAGGAGGTTGGTGGAGGAAGTGGGGCAGTAATAATAGAGGAGGGTGAGGTGGGAGGCGAAGGAGGCGAGGATGTACAAATGGAGGAAGGGGGAGGAAGTGGGCAGGCAGAAATGGACTCAAAGGTCGATTTGTATAGGCCAATAGAGAAAGAAAAGAAAAAAACTCTTATATGCCTATTACAATGAATCAGGAAGTGATGTCCATGTAAAGTGTAAGACAGGGGATTATCATCGGGAATGGTTTGAACAGTTGTTGACGATGGGCAGGTGGCTTGAGGACTCGGTGAGTTATTTTCACTTAATTTTCCTTAATTTTTCTTATGTTTTCCATACTTGTCATGTTGTTTTTAATTGATGCAGCACATCGATGAGGTATTGGCACTGATAAGGCAACGACAGACCAGTAATGGTGATCTATTGTATACCGACTGTGCCATCATCGATGTGGCGTTTGGCCAATCGCTTGTTTTGACATATCGCAATTTAATTAAAAAGGCCGTTGGTAGAGGTGTAGCAAAATGAGCCAAGCGAAAAAGATTGGCCTTAGAAGACTCGGACTGCATCCTTGATGATTTTAAGTTTGATGACAGGATTATGCAGTATGTACGGGGGGAAAGGCACAAATATGG